AGTGCCGAGGGAGACAAGCTCCAAGCACAGAGGGCACACACGGGGCGACCCTAAGGCGTGTGCCAGATGCAGAGGGAGCAGTGTTCCAGCACCGAGGGCAAGCACGCCACCAAGCAGCTACAGTAAGTGATATGTCATATGCCCGTATCGACCAAGCCAAGCCGGCGCAGCAGAAAGCGGCCCATAGGCGCAAGCAGGGCAGAGAGCAGCAGGGTAGAGAGACAGTAGCAAGGCATCAACAACAATCCAATGCCCATAATCTTGGACCGATTCAGCAGGTCATGCAGGAGGATTGATAGTCGCATAAACCTTGCCCAGAATCGGGACCGTACCACAATGTGAAGGTGTGCAGACAAGCATGGCCGCACTGTCAGCGAGTCCTAAGCTCACTCAGCGCACAAATCTCCAACAGTAGCCTCAATCGTGGACAAGCATGCACCTCTGACGGATAGATACCGTAGGATAGCAGCAGTAGTTGATAAAGCCACCGTTGCCGTCATACCACCCAGGGAGTCAACGTTCCTCGTCGGGCACTGTGCGGCACTGTCGCCCTAGTGTTACCGGGTGGGGGAAAGGGGGGTGCTCCTCGAGTCACCCACGACTCTTGGTGCCGCCCCGGGGGTCCGCACCCTTTCCAGCACCAGCCCACCCAGCAAGGACAAGCACTAGGCCCCGGGGCGCGTCGAAGGAAGAACTTATTTGCGAGGAAATCGGGCTGAGTTCTTGGAAACGGGCCTTGCGAGGCCGACACCTTCCGGGAGACCGCCGCGGGCCTCCAGGCTGCATCCGAATCGAGCTCAAGCCCATTGTAAGTGTTTTTGCGTGCAAGAATTGGGCTTCGGGTTGATGAAGCCATGCTTTTGTACTGGATTGTTTTGGTCAAACGACACCGGCGACAACATACGCAAACTTGGATATGCGCCTCCCCAAGGCACATCACTACGTGGTGATTCATACGGTGTTACAATCAGGGTTCTATGTAGGGCAAACGTACGTGTAACCGCAGTTCGGGTTCTGGTAACCCTACTTGTAACCACCCATGAACTAAGACAGCAAGCCCCACAGCAAGCCTCGGTCTGGAAACCTCCCCCCTCGGAATTGGCGAAGGCGAGACGGCGGTCCACGAGAACTTCTACCTACCCCATGGCTGAGGGCATTCGAGCTCTGATGAGTTCAGGGAGGTAAGGCTAGGGTTTGATAAAGTGCTTGAAAAAATCCACGTTGAGCCTTAGAGCTCATTGAGAGCTCATGCTTCATACACAATGCCGTTTCGAAAACATGTGCAAGATGACAAGCTGGGGACATCAAGCTCAAGGCACTTGAACCCGGGAGCTGCCACTGAACTCTCTCACGTAGTAGTGCCTCCAAATGGCCCCGACATAAACAATCTAGGAGTCTGAGGGAAAAGTCGCTACCGTTTCTCTACAACAGCCCAGGTTCGCGAACTCGCAGGAAGAACTCCGTTCCTTGCTCAAGCCTTAATGCTGGGCGGCTGCAGTGATCCAAAGGTTTTCCGTCAAGTCATACCGAGCGCTTCAGATATTACAGTAGAGAAACTTGACTATTGAGATCTGCACATCCATGATTGCAACATGCATGAAAGCTCTTAGACGTGTTCTGCTATGCTGTCACAAGGAACTGCAAGCCACAGAGGGCAGATTCTCGAGTGTCTCTGTCCACAAATTTGAGCATCTCAGCATCAGCCACAACATCCCGCATAACAAACCTCAACGCCATCCATAGATAGAAAGCGAAGCCAGCATCTTCACAACGTCACCAAATCATATGAGCCACTCGGCTTCACGGCAAGCCAGGCTGCAAGAACAAAATGGTTGGTTGCAGTCGCGAGAATCGTAACAGGAGTCATTGGTTGCAAACCTGGTAGGACGCAACGGCCAAGGGCTCAGGGCTTAGGGTGAAATGACCTATTGACAGCAGAGGTTCGTTTGCAACAAAAGCAAGTAGCGTGATGGCCAAGCCCTATAAGCCCCAAAACTTGGCGGCAAGTCCACCAGAACCTGGAAATATGGAGCGGCTGCCTTTTCGTCGGCCCCTGATATCGTTTTCGTGTTAAGTTCCGTCCCGTACTCACGTTCTGCGGTCACACGTTCTGCCCCTGTCTCGGATTCGACCGATGCTGGCTCCAGGCCAGCGGGCTGCTGATACGAAACTCTACACTTTAGGCTGCCTCCCCCCACCGCCCGTGACGTCGTAGCCAATCGAGACAGCACGTAGGGTCTCGCCTGTTCTGCATGTTGCATCACAGGAAGGGTTCGTTGAGGGTTTAGGTTTTCAGTATGGCCCTTTGCAGGCAAAGCCGGATTGCCTCGTTTGGACCTCAAGGTCTACGATCCTGGAAAGGTGAAATCATCCACGCACCGGCCCCTTAATTCAGGCCCCACGGTCTCAGTCGGGAACGAAGGAAAAATGGTGCTTCCGGCTGACTCTTGGCATCGATTTGACTGCTTTGCCCATTTTCACGTTTCTGTAGGTTGTGCAAAAAAATCAACGTTCCACGTTGCGGGAATTTCGAGGAAAGATGATGCTGAGGAATCAAGTGCATGGCTGATTACTGATGAATGATGGTTTAAGTTCTCTTTCTCTCTCTACAAATATATGTATATATATATATACACATACATGTGCGACCCAAGCCAGTTTCGTTGCCTGAACTTTTGCCACTGGCTTGTCATTGGTGGCACTGCGGCCCAAAATTGGAGCTGGGTTGATCAACCACGATTTGCTTCGGGCCACAAAAGAAAAGAAGACAAGGCGAGCCTGTGCCGCGACATCGACGCTAAAGCGCGTGAGACCACAATCCTTGAAGCTCTCTAGGCTTGTACGAAAAAGAGCTCAGGTTTTGAGGCTAAGCTGGGACACAAGCACAGTGACCCGTGTGGGTCCACTGATGACAAGACTGTAGGTTCACGTGTTCATCCCATCTCCTATGCAAGCTGGGCTTCCAGGTTTCTGACCGGCATCTACCCTTCAAGAGGCCAATACGAACATTTCCTCGCATCCTACATGTTTTGTTAAACTGCTAAATGCTTCAGGGCTGAATGGTGAGCATCCACCGGTAAGCTGATGTGCAAGAACAGAAGATCGAACGATGTGCCCGTAAACAGCACGAAAGCTCTTCGCACTTTATCTGTCCCTACAGGTTCCCAGGTTCTTGTAGCTAAGGCCTCAAAATGACGATGTTCCGGGTTGCAAGGTGAGCAAGCCCTAGAGGCCAAAGTTCGCTACGTAGAGTGTGATCTTTCAACGTTCATGACATCATTCCAAACCATCCAGAAAGGCGCATCCATGGCCCAGCTGCAGATCGAAGCATCCGATGTGCCTGGCACGAGCTGCTGGGCTGGAGGGGAAGGGGCTCAGGATTCGGCGTTGAGCTGATGATCTAGCACTCAGCCGCTTGCAGGCAGGAGGAGCTCAAAAGGGACAGGACAACAAGAACTCATACGATGTGTCCCCAACATCACCTGTGGCAATCCTACCTAAAAGTTGAACCGGTTTATGTGCTGATTCCAAGCATAACGTTGGAGAGATCCTGTCTGCGGGAGCTGAAAGGGATGAAGGGTACGAGCACAGGAAGGCAAGGCCTTCTGCCGATGGATAGAGCCGAACGCCACAGACCTGGCAAATTCACCTCTTGAGTGAGGGGCAGACGGCAATGCTAACTGCAGCTTTATCTCATCCTTTTGACCCTGGTGCCGTGTGCAGGGCGTTTTGTTGAAGCGCAGAGAAGCGAGCATGGCATCTTCGTGCCACAGTCTCATTAAGAGACGAAGGTGGGGATGAGACGAGGATGGCCAAGGCCTGCTTCAACCTTAGGCGGCATAATTTTGTGCCCCATACAAAGTTTCTAGCAAAGCCGAAGCAAGATCGGTAGATCTAACTAACTCCTCGTGGGTAACACGGTTGGGATCCTACAGATTTGAATGTTGGGGCTGTAAGGATGCTTCCGATCGAGCTCAGCTCGCAGACAGACCGTGAAGGATAAGTTGAGCAAAAATGCAACCTATGTCGTAGGGTTCCCAGGGGTGGATCCCACGTGGGTAGTGCCCGCGCCACGCTGGGCAGCGGAGCCCTCCTTCGCCCCGAGGCAAAGGTGGTGGTGTGCCAAGCCGGGAATGAATGCAAGCTTGACTTGCGCGTTTCCATGCTTATGGCTGACACCGTCCTAGCACGCCGACGGGAAAAATTGCACTATGTTCTTCCTGCGCTTTCTACAAGCGCATTTGTTGCGCGTCGCGGCTCCCCAACTTCGCTCAGGCAAGAAAGCCGTCGGTTTGCAAAAGCGTTGCAGATGCTGTCAAGGTGACTGTCATCAGCAGAGGGGACAGCAAGTATTGGATGAAGATGAGCGTGCTCATGGCTGCCTTGTTTTGACCACCGAGTTCTACTTGAACCATGATGTTGGTTGCTGTCGGTGTCAGCGAAACAACCATCGCCACCAGCCACTTGCCTTTGAGCGTCGAACCTGTTAGATGAGAGCACAAGCTGACGAACCCGGCAACCAACGCTGGCTGAATCAACATCTTCGTCACAGTGAGGACTAAGGCAGTTGTCATGGGCAAAGTGCTGAAGTCGGCGCCCTTACTCAGACCTGCCCCCAGCATGAGTAGGTTCACGGGAACCGCAGCATCACCCAGATGCCGCAAAGACAAGTAAATCCAGTGCAAAGCATGCGTATTTGTGAGAGATCCATCATGCACGTCCAGAAACTGGTTCTGAATTGGCCGAATGCAGGCAACCACAATGCCGACGAGCGTTGCGAGCACAGGCGGCGAGGAGAAGAGGAAACAGAGATGCTTTGCTTTCGCCAAACAGCCCGCACCCCTCCCAGGCATGGCAAGATCCTCCTTTTCGAGGACATCGTCTACCTCTGCCTGGGCTGAGAAGCCAGGGTGCACATCTGCGAACAACCCATGAGAGGTCTTTGCCCGCCGGCTCATAAACTTGCTTGCACGGCGGGAGTTCCGAGCGCGAACATGCCAAGTCCAAGCTCTCGACCACTCCCGTGACTTCTCTGAGTCCTCGTCAGTTGAAGACTCATCGCTCTCCCCATTTGTGCTCTCATCAACCGGCTCATCACTTGCACTTCTCGTGCTGCCGTCTTCAAGCGGCACTTGAGGCCCAGACGTCCTGTTTCCTATGAAGATGTAGGAACCTGCGGTCCACTGCAACACCGGTGCCAGCACCAAATACACAGGCAAGAAGAGCAAGGGATCGCTTTCCAGAAAGCCATTTGCATAGAGCTCCGGAGAGAGCATCTGGAGGAGCGCCACCGGCATGGTCGTGGCACTGCCAAAAGCCACGGATCCGGCGGCGGCCCTTTCGAAGTCTGGACTCACTCGGAGCATTTTTGCGGCCAATAAACCTAGAAGGTAGCCGGATCCAACAATCAATATCGGCCAGAAAAAGATGAATAAGGAGTGCTGAATCACCCTTTCCATGTCTGGGCACGGATCATTGGCTGAGCCATGCCCGTGACAATAGATAACCTGTGTGAACATGAGGCACGGGAGCAGCAGGTTCATGTACAACTCGCCCAACACCTTTTTCCCATCATTTGTAATGATGCCCATCTTGGCCATGATTGCCCCAGCCATGGTCTGAATGGCAATGCTCCCCACCGCCTTCAGGGAAGTGAGCATCAGCGTAACGATATTCACGCTCGCCATGGCTTTCAGCTACTTTCCGCAAGATAGTAAGATCTGAAGCATCAAGGCATGCCTTGTAGATGGTCTGGGCACCTTACCTTTGCATCCCACGCTAGCCTAATATTTACGGTAGCTCCTCACGAAATGGATGAAATGATGAAACATCAATCAGGCTTCTTCTGCTGGTTGCAAGGAAAATTCTCTGCTGGCGGCAATGGATTCAACTTTTTTGGCAAGGGTAGTGTTGATGACTGAATCTGAATGACAACAAAAACCATGACAACATAATTGACCCTGTAACATGGAAAGAAATATTTAGCCACGCAGGCGCAGTCAGGCTGGATTCGGAACATCAGCAGCTACAACCAAACAAAAAACCCAGCAATTTGCGGCCTTCTCCTTGCAGGCACGACGGAAAGCCACCGAGCTGTCCACCTGAAATCATAAACTTGGAGCTTGAAACAAGACGTCTTCCAGGGGGTGCCTCAACGGGGGCGAGGTACTTGGGACTGTTGGACTGTTGGGGATTACTAAAAGGCATCGTCCCTCTGCGAACCACGTTTCTGGAGGACCTCGTAATACATGCATTACATACGTCTCATGTAAACCGTGTGGTCATACCTGTAGAATCAGAATCTCATACTTGGACTGCTACGGCCGAATAGGGCTGACTGTAATGAAGCCTGGCATCTGAAGAACTGTGCGCAAATAGGAAGTCCTTGATTTCATGCATCACCATGACATCGGCAATCTTTCGTGCCTGACCAAAGCGCAGACCAACACTCGTGGTCGATCTGGTCGATCTGCAGCCCAAGCCACCTTTGGTGGCACTGAACTCGGCCCACGCCCCCGCTCACACAGCCAAAAGCTGCGCAAACGAAGTGCGAATCGAGTTGAGGGCATCAGAGAGACAGAGACAAATGCCCGTACTAGACACTAGACATGATGGGGACAAGTTCTGAGGCTCAGAAGTGCTCCTTGAAGAAGGAGAAGCGGGTTCCGCCCGGGGTGCCAACCATGTCCGAATTCTTGATGCTCTGCTGGG